TTTTTTTGGAAATTAGTAATGATATAAACTAATTTATTATTTGTTATTATTACCATTTTTAGATAAATTAAAATTTAAAAATTTATTTATAGTTATCTTTAATTAAAATATTATAATCTTTTATTCTTCCACGAAAATATAATTTTATAAGAAAGACCAATATTGCCTCATGGCACCCAACGGAACCTACCACACGCTAACATGCAATTGCGTAACGATAGCCGCACATTACATGCAGTACGACAAATGTTCTGACTTCTTGCAACTGATTCTAAATTAAATGTGAGATATAAATCATTCTTACATGTTTATACATCTAATTTGTAAATTTGCGAAAGTTATATATCTAATTTGAATGTTCTGCATGAAAATATGAAAATACATAAAAATATGTGTCATACTTTTGATGATATAAAAAAAAAGTTATAAATGGATTTATTAATTTTAAATGTTTAATGTTAATGATCTTTCTATGCCATATTTATGAGTTAAAACTTTATATAAATTTATATATAAGATATGCAAATATAAAAAATACAAGAAAATAGATGTTTATTGAGTAATACTTAATCAGGACTAATAAAAACAATTACTTGTTTTTTTTCCATCCATGTTCACAATTATTGTTTTATTTTTCACAAAATCATATTCTTTAAATAAAATATAAGAAGCAAAAATTTAAAAATATATTTCTGTAATTTAGGGTAATTATCCGAAAAGATAGGCTTACCGGCGAGCAGAAGGGAGGCCAAAGGAAGGAGCGTAGGAGTCGGAGAGAGAGCAAGTGAGAGCAGAGGAGAGAGAATCAATGAACGGCGGCCGGCGGCCGAGGAACTGTGGATTGGCGGTGGGATCGCCGGTGCCGAGAGAGATAACGGTTTTCTCGCTGTTAGATAAAGTCTGAAGCTCAGCCATGACTCCTCTAATGGAAGATTTGACTTCCCACAGCACCGTGTTGCAGTTAATCATCTTTGCCTTTTCGCCCATATTTTCTGATCCATTATTTTTCTCTTCGATGGAAGCCTTCAGTTAAGTATTTAGATGAATATTAATGAATGAGAAAATTATGCAGAGAGATTGAAGATTGTGAGAATGAATTACCTGAGAAATAGGCGCCATTAATGAAGCACGGGAAGCTTGAAGTTCTGACGGTGGCAACTTTGGGGATGGAAGGAGATGTACAGAAAGAGCTCCGGAGAAGACTTTAAATAGTATTTGTTGAGGCTCTTTTATAGAAGAATTATCTTTGAATATTATTTTTAGCAGGAAAATATAAAAAATTATGAAAAAATAAAAATGCAATCGTCATAGCTAGTTCTCTTTTTATTTATTATTATTATTTTGTGTGTCTGTGGGTTATTTTCGTCTGCATATAAATAAATGAAATTTAGAAATGATAGTAATATTAATGGTTTCATGTGTTTATAAATGAAACATAGATTTACAAATCAAGAGTTTGTAGCTGCTAAGCTAAGAAAAATCAGAACTATAAAAGTAGAAGCCATAAATAAGAATGAAATTACAACAATCAAATCAAAGTATTAGGTTACATAATGCACATGTTTGGAATTCATCAAACCCAACGGCAAGGTGTGCAACCATCATGTCATCGATGAGTGAACCAAAAAAAAAATAAATTAAATAGTTAATATGTAAATACACAAAATATAAATGTTTTGCAGGTAAATCTTTCTAAGAAAATGTTCATTGAAAATATAGTCAACGGTTCACGTTGAATACCTCCTCTTGTCCTTAAAAAAAAAAAGAAGAAGAAAATTAATTAAAATAAAAAAATAACGTGTTAACTTGGTAAACAATCACTCATCTGCTTATCCTGATCACAAAAGCCCTCCACGCATCTCCATATTCATCCACATTATATTTATTTATATACGAATTGCCACACATTATAAGCATACATGAGGAGCAGGACAGAGATGAACACCATAAAACAGTGTTATTCCATCATTAAATGTTTTTTTTT